TCGATCATCCTGTGAGAATTTATGCGAATGCAGTGCTCGCATAAAAAAGGCTCTCGTATCATGGCGGCTCTTAAATTACGCGCGTTTCATGCCGAATGAAATCCCGTTCCGCTTCTCGCGAAACATCACGTCAATGCCATACAACCCGTACGTTGCTTATTTTTCCACGAGATAGTTTCCGGTGGGTGTTTACCCGAGCGGAAGATTCCGACAGAGGCAAAGAAAAAAGGTGGGGGAGAAAGAGAGAAAAAAAAGAGTTCTCTTTACTCTTCTCACGATGCTACTTTCTGCCGCGGAAAACCAGCCGGCGGTTTGGAAACCGCAAATCGCGAAACAATCGGGAAATCGTGCGGAGAGAAACAAAGAGAGCAAGAGGGGAAGAGAGAGAGAGAAAGAGAAAGCACGGGGATATCATCGAGTAATCGATTACCGGAGAGGAATCGCCCTCTTATTACTCTAGACAACCGCTTTGCGAAACATCGCGAAACGAATGCCACATCAGTTGACGGTTGATGCGATCACGAACAAACAAATGTCGGAAAGAATCCGGATCGACAGCCATAAATATGCGGATACTCGGGAAATTTGAGCCACGAGATTCGTTCGCGGGATCTAAAAATCGCGCGAGAAAAAAAAATTTAATAAAAAAAAAAGAAAAACACATAAATAGAAACTTTCCCTACCGCTGGATGTTACGCATATCAAATTCTTTATTATTAGGATTTTTCCATTGTCCTTTGCCCCAGGGAAGCATTTTCCCAGGTATATAATCCGTCCTTACAAATCTCGGATCGCGGAAGAAGGATCGACGGGGCGCGCGACACATCGACCATAAATGTCGGAATGGAAAAATATGATACGCCTCGCAAACCCAAAATACGAGAGGTCCGACCTCCGACGGAAAGAAAATACGAGAGGAGTACAAGTTGGAAAGGAAATATTCCGCTCGCACGTGGCAAGGAAGAAGGAGAATTGATGGATTGCTTTGCGGGAGTCGGACGGCCTTGATGATCGAAAGAATTCGCATACCACATGGTTGCCCGTTCGCTTAAACGACCGTGAATTTTGTGAATCCAATATTCTCGCGCGACGCTTATTTCGTAATAAAACTTTATAACGACATATTTAAATAAACTTTTCCAAAAATAAAAGAGAAGAAAGAGAGAGAGAGAGAGAAATGGGAATGCGATGAGAGAAGAAAAGAAAAGAAATAAAATGAAAAGCTGCAAGCAATTGAACAAAGTATAAGATGTTATTATAATATAAAGATATTATTATCAGAAGAAAGTAATGACAAATATTTGACGTTACCGTAACATCCTCCTGCGTGTATAGAGAGATTTTACATTATATCGTATATTTAACGGCGTGCAAAAAATCTATTACGCCAATATATCAGTAATGTATAAAACCATATAGACAACGAGACGACGCAAAACTGAATTTACATTACGATCGTCGAAATCGATAATTATTACAATTTTAATTAAAGCAATAATTATCAGATCATGAGAATATCCCTCGCAGAAAAGAAAAAGATTATTAACTTGTAAGAGCAAAAAGAACAAATTAACCTTCCGCGCTTAATAAATCCTTTAATATCTCGGTTATGGGAAGTATTTAGTCGCCTCGCAGGTCCCTAAGATCGTTCCAGCGCATGCTCGGCATTCTCGGAGCATAGGGTTCCCATAAATTGCAAGTATGATACGTCCTGAAAACGTCGGCTCGAGTGCTTTAACACTAAACGACGTAGAGAGGAGCGAAAAGAAAGAAAAGATTAAAAGGGATGACACGTCGGGTCGATATCAGGTAAACCGAGACACCTAACGTGCGCGAAACTCGCGTTGCACACAGTCGCATAAAATAAAATATCAGCGAAAAGTCTTTCCCGCTCTATCAGCGTTCCTTTGAAACTCGATAATAATTATGCGGCTAACCGATAAAATTCATCGCCGCGATTATCCGACAGCGCGATATAAAATCATATTACCCCTCTGGCATTAATATTTATATATTAAATGTATAACCGTTAATTCTGCGGTCAGAAAATGCGATACGTAGAAAATACGGGCTCCCACATTTACTCGCTCTCTTTTATATAAAACGGAATAACTGTATTATTGCGTTATACACATTTGCGAATGGATTATTCGATAATAATAATAATAATAATAATCGGGGAGAAATTTTAACGATCAACATTAGACGAAATACCAAGGCGAAATAGCAGAGTCTAATGCCGGTTCGTCGAAAGCATTCGAGGCTAAACGAAGGGAGCTCGTATTCTCTCCAATTGCGAAACGCGTTTCGCATAATGACGAGCCGCGGCGACGATAAAGCCGCCGACGCGGCCAGAAAGAGGCTCCTCGATGATAAAAGCCGTGCACCGAAAGGGGAGGGAGGAGGGGAGGAGAGGGAGAGAGGAACCGGCTCCCGCGATTCGGACGGCAAAAATGGTTTAATCGCAACCCAGGTACAATATCGCGGGGCACAGGTGCGTGATCGGCGCGGTGCATCATCGGAGAAAATAGCTCTCGATTTCGCGAGCGCGCGCCGATTACCATTCACGGCGCAAAAATACCCGTCTACCTGCAACCGGGACAGTCTTAGTCATCGATATTCGAATCACGGACACAATTACGGCCGATATCACCGGCGGTGGAATTTCAGAGCGAGGTATACAGCGCGAATCGCTAACTAACCGACACGTACGAGCCCTTTGGAAAAGAAGGAAAAAAAAACATATCGACGAGAGAATATTCTTCCTTATCTCTCAACGAATACGCTGGATTCGTCGGCTCGAAAATTGAACGATTACGTAAGTAATCGCGATAAAAGAACGCCAATTGATAAACGGAGCGGCGAGAACCTTCACCGCGCGTATTCTTTCTTCCCGGAGAGGCTGCGTTTTACCGCAACTAATCGCGATTACAGTGGATTTCCTATTACGTCCGCCAGCGACATTCGCGTACCAACGTAAAAGGTGTGGTTTCCAAGTCCCGAGGAGGAGCAATTACACGCGTTAAGTTTCTTCGCTCGGAAGGAGGTACGCTCCGATTGCTGCTTTTACAACCTAGTTTCTCTATCGACAATGGCGTCGTTGACGATGACGATAATTTTGCTCAACGAGGCGCGGATCTACGGGACATACAAATTTCAGTCTCGCGTCGTAAATGCAAGAACGTCGGGATTTTATGGCCAAGTATTTAACATGGCGCTGCGTTTTGCTACATCTTGCGCGCCTCGGAGTAGAGCGGTACATTGCGGACGGAAAACCTCCCGAAGCAAATTAGCACCATTCCGAAGCAAATTGGAATCTCGAAACTACTTAATACATTGCTGCAAATTTTTTTATAAAAAGGAGCTGCTCACAAACTACCGTTCTCAAATATTTTCCTTCCTTCGTCTGACGTTTCAGATGAACGCGCATTATTTTCGACAATTTATTCGATTGCGAGATTAAAGTGGGACACGTTAACGCGAAATCATCTTTCGGAGCTGCTTCACTCAATTATATCGTATTCATTTTGTCGTTTGTCTTTTAATATTTGCGCATTTTTTGCAAATTTATTTTTACTCAGGCAGATTTAAAGACACTGCCGATACATATTTACATTTTATTACTGATATAATTATTTCCAAGTATATTACGCACGTTTTGCCGCAGTTTCGCAATAAAGTTATTATTATCGCACAAAGCGCATCTGACTCTCGCGTTCCACGTCGCTCGCAAGGGGACTAAACGCGCAACGATTCTCTCACGATCGCAAGGAGAACCTGACGTACCGAAGCGACGTATCACGCCAGGGTACCGTAGTCCGGGCGAATACACGTACGGGGCAACGCACACGTACGGGAGAGAGAGTTCGAGGAACGCGGCGTTGGGCAATGCGGCGCGGGCGGAGGTGCGGGGCGGGCGCGGATGCCGCGATAAGCCGCGTAACCGTGCGCCACCGGTAGCCGAGCCGGGCTTCTGTTTATGGCAGCAATTTTTACGCCCATCGGCAAAAACTGACAGTTCTCGTTACCGCCGACCACGCGCCGTATTTCTCATCGATACCGACATCGAGCTTGTCCGCGTCGCTATTACCGTTTTCCTCTTTCGATCATTTTAATTTAATTATCATCGTAGATATTCTTCCCGGGCGAGAAAAATTAATTCTTCCGCACAAGACATTTTTGTATATAATTCCGGTTTCTTTAATCGAGACAAGGTCACATTTTGTCTCTATATATTATAATGCGCAACAATATTATTCGATGGCAAAATGTTGTAAAAGTAAACAAAGAAAGGAACGACATACGGATGACGGCAGTTCTCTTCCTCTCCGTTCGAAGTAAAATTATTAATAAATATTCGTTCCTGAATACGGTTGGAATATTTATGCGCGTTGCACGCCGATCGTTTTATCGCGAGCATGGGAATTTTTATTAAAAATTCTAATTTTGTTAAACTGCTGAATAAATCAGTGCGCACAATCTCTTTCTCGGATTTCAATTTGCATTTATAAATTTTTTATCCTACCTCGTTGCTCGGTAGGGCGACGGAAATCAACTTTATAATTTTGAAAGAGAGCCACGTGCTTTTCGCTCGACAGGAAGCGGATTCCCTCCTCTCCTCTTGCGCGAACCGCATTGCGCTCCGAGGAGCCGCAGGAAGTCACGGCAATGGCAGAATAAGCGGACGGCGTCCATTGAAAACGCGTTAAAATAAACGTGGAGAGAGAGAGAGAGAGAGAGAGAGAGAGGGGAGGGAGGGAGAAGGAAAAAGTGGCGAAAACGCGACGAATGTCACACGCGTGCGGGGATCAAACGTCGGCGGCAGCTGGTTTTCAAGGGGCGCGGACATGCGCCTTTCGCATCCCGGCGCGTCCACGAGAGCGACAGGGGGAGAGATCCGCGCGATCTTGGAGCGCGCGCACCGCATGCCGAAATTACGATTTGTAGCCGACAACGTGGAGGTTCGCCGGTCGAGAAACTATTGCGCTAATTGTACTAACCGTGTCCACGGTAGGCTCCCAGGCAGCGGCGACGGCGACAGGAATGTCCGGGAAAATCTCCTTGGAATATCCCTCGTTGACGCTTCTTCCTCGTCTCACTCACAAATCGCGACACACTTGACCTCGAACATGAAAAAACTCTCTTTCGTTCTCTCTCTCTTTCACCAGGCTCCTCGGATTCTCGCTCTCTTTCTCGTCGCGTCCAAGAGCAACGAGCGAAAAGGACTCGGCACACGCGAGAAACCGTTGCGCGAAACGCGATGACACGACGACGTCGACGGCAGCGACGATGACTGAGGATCACGTTCGGTATAAATCGAAGACAACGTCACGGGTAAGACGGGCACGGATACGCGCGCGCGTCGAGATGACAGCGTCGGTTATTATACGCGTAGGTTGTCGCGAGGAGCCGTTTTGGAGGTTAGGAAGCGCACGACACGACGACGCACCACCGGCTAGCTACTGCTCTCCTTCCTCTCACCGCCTTTCCCTACGAGCTACGCGCGGCCGCCGTCTTTCTCTATCCGTCTGCCCCTCTCACTTGGATTCTCTCTCTCCCACACGAGGAGTTTATACCGTCAGGCCGTGTAAGAGTACGATCGCGTCACGTTGTACGCCGTTCATGCACTAACCGATCGTCCATTCTGCCGGGGGTAAACACCGGATGAGGAGCGAGAAAGAGAGAGACAACGCCGGCGGAGAAAGCAAGAGGGCGTGAGAATGAGACGCACGAAGAAGAAAAATCAAACGGGAGAGGCGCGCACACACGCAAACATACGTACCGGCACGTAGGTAGATAAGTGCGAAGCGCAGAAACAAAGGCGGACCGTGTAGTTCGCGGAAGGGCAAACAAAAAAAACAGAGTGGGGGAAGAGAAACACTGCGCGCCGGTTCGCGATACGCAGAAACGCCGAAACTCGAAAATGCGGTAGATCGGCTTAAAAATCGTAGGCACGAGCAAAGACGGAGAGAGGCGACGCTAAAACTTTACTCCGCGAATCGAGATATGTCAGGGGAACGAGCGAGAGGAGAGGCGAGGGGACGACGCGTTCGAGACGAACGGCGCGGCTCGGAAGGGGGGGGAGGGGAGAGAAGGCTGGGAACGACACGCGAGGGAAGGGAGCGGGGGAACAAGAGAGAGAGAAAGAGAGAAGAGAGCTTACCGAGCGCACGGAAGGTTAGGTGCGGCGTGGGGCGACGAGCGGGAAACGACACAACGCTCCGACTTGGCAGAGGGACGCGGGGCGACTGACGCTCCGAGCGGTAGAGGGGGAACGTAGGCTTCGGCGGGACACTGGGAGGAGGAGAGGGGGGACCGCACAGCCGGCAACAGCCGACTCGACTCGATTTGTCGCGATCTCTCTCGCGCGCTCGGCGTGACGTCGTCTTTGTCGCTCCTTTGAGATTCGATGTATCGCCGCCACTGCCGCCGCCGCCGTCGTCATCACCGATGTGTTGGAGCAGCACGACGCAGGAGGCGCGCCAGGGTGTATACGGGGTGTCCATGATATTCGGCGATTACGTGCTATTCGTCCTCGCGATCCTCCCTCGTGGAATGATTTATTCGCAATGTGCAAAAGTACGTAACGCGGACGTCGTTAACGCTTGTAAACGACTTAATTCGCCCTAACGTTTGGTAAATAATCTCGCAATGTTGCGTTGTATTATAAAGTGTAAATTCGTATAGAGAATACTCCCGTAGGAAAGTGGAAATAAATGTTCTGCCGAGAACATTTACATAATACGAGTTTGCATAGTACACATCTTGACTGTATTTGCATAATGCGGATCCTGTTTGTATTTGCATAATCCAAATTTCGATTTTATTTCAGAACGAATAATATTCTCTATCGTTCGAAAATAGTCGGCATGCCCAACGGAAATTATGATTGTTCGATGCGTTATTCATGACAACTGGGTTACCGGGAGTAACCCAGAAAGAATCATTTCGTGTCATTTTTATTATTTAAAGGCGTGAAACGCGCAAAATGAAAATTGCTTTTGACGAATCTCGTACAAAGGCAGATATTAATATAAAGAGTATTAATATATACATGCTATTAATAAAATCTAATTTACATCGCATATAAATTATATTCAACGATATTACAATACTAATTTGAACGATGCTTTTATATTCAATTATTCAATTTTGTATTCGTAACATTTATATGCGGAAAAAAATGTTTAAAAATGATAGACTCATAATTTCCCATCAAAATATTCCTTCTAAAATTATTTTATCCCCATTGATTATATATACATATTATCTATATTGATTGAACGGATCTCGTTTCTCGCTGTTTTTGGTCTCTGGTATTCGAATACGACGTACCACGTGAACAAAGAGCACGCGGAGAATCCGCCTAGTACTCTATAGTTCACCCGGTATATGCACACGCAGAACGATCACACGAACGAAAAGAATACAGCACGAGCAAGGTGATAGAAGGAGCAGGAGAAAGAGAGAAGAATATGGGCCCCGAGGAAGAAACGAGCCGGCGGGACGAGGACGCCTTGAAAAAGCAACGAGAGGGATGAAGGTAGAGGGTAGCAGGAGAGAGGGGAGCGGGATAGAGGGATCGAAGTCCGGGGAAACGAACGGGAGACCTTGCGCATCGTGGCCACGATAGAGAGAACGACGCTTTGTGTCGAATAGTAGTTGTGTGAAGGAGAGAGAACCGGGCCTCTTTGCAGAAGGGGAAAACACAGAAGAGGGCCCTCGACCGTCTGCGATCCATGCGTAAAGGCCTTCTCAGACGGCAAAGGTTCTTTCGCCGTTTGCCAAGAAGGGGAAAGAGAGGAAGAAGGAGAGAGACACGGTGTGCACGGAAACCGGATTGCATTTTACATTTTGAATATACCGGGGGTATTTTATCTTTTTCATGACGCGAGATGTGTGTTACTCGATACAGGACAAATGCTCCGTTCCACGTACACTTTTGCCCGAGAGAAGGGGGGTATTTTTAGTCAACTGTGTATTTTTGACAACTCGAGTTTCGAGAGAGAGATAAAAATTGGTTTGGACATCGAGGTCTTGTTAGATCCTCAGAATCCGCTTGGAAATAAAAATTAGATTTGTAAACGATTGAGAAGATTCAACCTTCTCGGCACTTGATATACGTTGTGTACGTGTACGCGTGCGCAGATGTATATGTGTACCAGGGAGAATGTTCAATATTTTAACAAAATAAATTTTACATCTCGTATTACACCGCAGGGAAACATGAGCAAGAAAAATGCTGTATATATTATAGAATATAAGATATTGATCTGTTTTTGTCTGAAAGTTATAACATAACTCTTCTGCAAAATTTCAATGCAATAAAAATTATTTTTTTATTTTCGTTTAATAGAGGAATATCTATTCGCTTTTATTTCAATTTATTTTTGTTATAATGATCATAAGTGAAAACATATATTATTACGAATTGGATCCATTAAAGTCTACTTATCGAATAATAAGATTAATATGTTACAGATATTCTTTTATAAAGTATTATTAATTTTTTAATATAATTTTAGAGAAATATAATATATTTTTTAAACATAATACTTGTACAATATTTAATTATTATGGTCTTTATTTATTATTTTTTATTAAGATTTTTTAGTGAAACTCAGTGAATCATAAGACAGTAATAATCTTATTGAAAATAAAACTGAATTAATTTCAGAATATTGAGTATCTTGGAAGAGAAAAAAATATATGCTTTAATTTTTATAGCTGAATGAGATTATTATTTTTTATTAAGATTATTAATATTAATATTTACAGATGTCATATTTTTTATTTATCTACATATTTTTATAGCTTATTAATAATTTTTTTACACAAAGTATTAATTGTACAAATATATACAAGATATTATTTTTCCAGAATCGAGCATTTGATTGATTTTATTGCGTCGATAGATATTGATCAGAATTAACTCCTGAAATGTGAAAGCCGTTAATGTATTAGTATATTACAAGTGCATTGTAATTTTCAAAGAATTAGCACGCACGACGCACACGTGCGAGATGGAAAGCAAATCGTTGGGTGCGCGTTGAATGAGACTCGACGACGAAATCGTCCTTGTTAGCTTGCGAAAAGCAACCGGTGTTCACGTATCAAGCGACTGATCAGTGAAATTCGTTCATTACGCGAGAAATCCTATGACGTCGTCGTTATGCAATGCGCGACGATTCGAAATACTCCGGATGTTTAAAGCGTATTAAGTACACCTTTGTAGGGATTACGTAAATTTGATTACCTCGGATAACGTTCTCCTAGTTCGACTAGTTATAAAATTTCTTATAGCGTTATGCGTTTATTTTATAAATAGTCTTTGTTACTCAATTCTAGCCATGGCATTGTAAATCACGTTTATATACGTAAGATTATTCGTTTTCGTTTAGACATTCAATTCGAGAGCGAAAGAATTGTGAGAAGTAAATAAAAATCAGTACGTTTTCTATCGACAAATCTAGACGAGTATACTCGAGCATGTTCATATAGTACGAGACTTTTGAAACAGAGTTGCTTGTACGATTCAGTACTTGAAATACGCCGTGTCATCTTAAAATTCGCTATCGATCGTGAAACTAATTTCAATCTTTACTTAAATCCTCCCTAGCTAAAGATCGATCACAGACTGGATAAAGCTGCCTCTTTATACAATGTCGAGTGCAAATTAAGACATCAGTTGCATCGAGAAGTAAATGAACTTCGAGATAAGTTAACAAAGTTTTCTCTCTGACGTCAATATCATTCCGGAGCAATGCGATATAAACGTAACAATATATGCATGACGGAAAGGCTGGACAAAAATGCCATCGGGATAGTCGATGCGTCCCTGCATATTTGCATGGGAACGTACCTACAAGATCCGCTCGTACAAAGAACGCGAGAACCTTTTGCGCGCGAGCGTACGTTTATATGGACTGTTTTGTGTACGTGTTTCTCGTGCGTGGCACGTACGAATGTGGCAGGGAAGAGAGGAGGAACAGATCTCTTAGGGCCATGCTTAAAAAATATAGGTTCGAGGATACCGCAGCAGGAGGGTTTGCCTTTTCCTCGTGGGACAGGAGCAGATCGTTATTTTCTATTTCGTGAGAGATACGCGGGAAACTCTTTCCTTCCTGCCCGAAGACCGAACAGGGCGCGGCTCATTCCTTGTTTGGGCCTGTTCGGAGTAGATTCCCCATCATCGAGAATGCAGGATAACGGATCAAGAAACAAAGACTTGGGATGTTTTATGGACCGCGGGCTTCTCCTGGTAAAGTCAGTTGTAAACTTGTATTCGGAGAAGAAATTTCCTCGAATTATATACAAGGTTGTACAAGAATCCTAAACTAGTCCATGTTTGATTGGACGAATATCGGACAATGCATTTTAATTTAAGGTAAAAAAATAGATCAAGAAGTTTATATCCTTGGAAGATTTTCATGATATTGTATAAAGTATATATAAAGTTTTATATCTTCAAAGTGTAAGATTTATTTCTCGCAATTAATCTTATTTTTAATTTATTTTTATTTTTACTCTCGTTGCTGCCAATCCTAAGCTGTCAATTTATTAATTACTATTATATAATTATATATTTTGTCATATCTAAATCTGAAGATGTTGCCTATCAATTCTTAGTGTATAGTTATTAATATTTTGCCTACCTAAGCATGTATCACCTTTATCGAAGGTGATCATGCTTTTTTATATTTATTATGTAGCCGATTGTAATATACTCGTTTTCTATTATAATCGATAATACCTTGACGATTATTGCGTCTTCAAGGCTAAACATGATTCCATCGAATGACAAGTAAATGAGATGTTTGTTTTAGAACTGTCGTGATCGTTTGGAAAGAAAGCGACTATAATTTAATCTTTTTAATGGCGTAGTACGATTATTTCAAATTGCCCTCTATATTATCGAACCGTCCATGATTGTGTACTCAAGGTCGAAATTGTCCGCTTTCATTCCCAGAACGAAAATAAAACGGCTTACAGATCTCGAAATAAACATTTAACGCAAATATTTCTCGACATATTATTTGCAGTGAATATTTACAGAGATGCATTTCAGTGAAATGAAGTGTATGACTTATACGAGATGTATTTTAAGATTGAATCTCTTCCGCGCGCGTGTAGTCATAACACGAAGTTCT